AAAACTAAGAAACATAATGATAAAACATGTAAAAATAAAACTAGAAAAACAGATACAGGGGGATAAAAGAAATAAAAGAATAGTAAATAATATAAAAGCTATGGAAAATTAAATTAAAACAGATACAGGGGGATGAAAAAAATAACCAAGCAATAAAGAAATATAAAATGGGAATACAGTGAAAACAGATACGAAGCGAAAATGAAATCAAAAATAGGATAGGTAAAGATGAATGTTTAAAAAGAGTTAAGAATCGGGGGCTGACATAAAAAAAAAAAATAAAGACAAAGGTGAAAGAAAAATAATAGAAGATAAGGAACGGAATATTTAAAATTTGAATTTAGCTTGAGAATTTGGACGTTCAATAGATACATTTAGTAGAATATAGTTAAATCATATAGACAAAATAGTAAGACAAGAGAAATTTAAAATGGGTACCTAGTCCACTACAGACAATAGAGCAAAAAATAGAGTAATATAAGTTGAATAAGATAAAACTTGTGCATATAAGAAAAGATATATACAGAAGAAATGTTAGTACAAAAATAAAATATAAAGTTTATGAATAATTAATGGTTTAAGATATGTGATTTTGGTAATTTTTGTGCAAGATAAATGCAGAACAAAAAATAATATGATAATTTAGATGTTTTTTTATAGATAGATGTTGATAAATAATGTGAAAATGAAAATAAATGTATGAAGTGGTAAGAGGGACTAAAAAGGAAATATGAAGAAAACTTGAGTTATAAAAAAATATTAATGAAAATTGATATAGGTAAAAAATAACTAGGATAGAAACATGCATTAAGGAAGTTAATAAGTATTTGAGAATATTTATGGAAAATGATTATACAAGATGGGAAAATCACATTAAAGAAGTAAAAATGTTTTTTAAATAATATTCCAAGCACAATTACAGGGGAAAATCCAATATAATAAAATATGTGATAAATGTTTACGAGCCCTAACACAAAAATGTTCGGACATCAACTGATTTTGCGAAAAAGTTTGAAAATTTCCTTAAGGGATTTAATATCATATGTTTTTCATTTATAAGTCATAATTTGTATTGTTTACATCATATTTATAAAATTGTTTTCAAATAAACTAATGTTGATAAAAATGCAATATTTGCTGACACATAACTGTTTGGACACGTTAGTAAAACAAATAATAGCAACCCATGGAAACAAAAAAAAGTGTTTCTATTTTGACATTTTAACTTGAGAATTAATTTGATTGTCAATTGGCTCCAAAATGTCACGTGGTAGAGCAACAAATGGTGCAATTAAAGAATTAATAGTAAAACTGTTTAACCAAGGAAAAACCTTTCGGGATATTGCTAAACAAATAAATGTCGCACAGTCCACGGTGTCAGATATTGTGAAAAAATATGGAGAAACGGGTTTAACTTAAATTTCAAGACATGGTGCTGGTCGGCCACGCAAAGTCACTTCCCGAATGCAAAGATCTCTTCTTCGGATTTGTAAAACTGACCGCCGAAGTACTGTAAGGGAAATAACAGCAAAATGGAATAAAGAAATAATTGGAAATGTTTCACGAGAAACGTGTCGTCGCTGGATCCATAAGTCTGGTTTACATTTTGATAAGGTACGTAGGTTACGTTTAAGGAAAATCTCATATTTATGCAGTGAAATTATTGGTTTAGGCAAAAGAAAAGCCGTTGCTGACGAAAAAACAAAAGAAAAGACGATTAGCGCGGCAAAGGAACGGGCAATGTGGACTTTCAGAATCATTTTTTGCGATGAATCAAAATTTGATGTTTGCGTGGGTGATCATCGATAACGTGTTATAAGAAACAAAAATGAAGACTTTCACAAAGACTGCCTAAAGAGAAAAATAAAATTTCCATCAGGTGTTATGGAATGGGGAAGCATATCTGGTTTCAGTGTTGAAAAACTGCACTTTATAGACGGAATTGTAAAAGCAGAAAAATGTCAGAACATTCTTCAAACCAATTTGTTAGTGTCAATTCGAATTTTATCACCTGATGGAAACTTTACTTTTCAACAAAATGGCGCCTCCTGCCATACAGCCAAGACCACAAGAAAGTGGCTGCAGGACAACAATATTTCCGTCCTTGACTGGCCCTCCAGCAGCCCTGATCTAAATATAATCGAAACTGTATGGCACAAGATGAAGCAGCAATTAAGAAATGATCTACAGCGCAACATTTCTGATTTGCGGGTAAAATTGCAAAATATATGGGATTCTTTTACCGCGGTAGATTGCGAAAAACTTGTTTTCCTACGACCACTTAGGAAAGTGACACATATCACACTATAGTCCTATGGGTATCACACACGTATGAATAAGAATTTACTTTCCACCCGAGTGAGAATATGTTACTTTCCGCAGTAGTTGTCACAAAATGTCAAACACCTAATTTCTATTTTGATCTATGTAATGTCCATATTAATACTAAAATCGATATGATTGTTAAATATTATTGAAATCGTTGTAAATTAGATCCTAGATATTTATCTTTAATAATTATTATTAAAATAATTTTAAAATAATATATGGTCTTTATTCCGGTTAAATAAATAACCGATTAGATCATTCAATTGACACAAGAGCTATTCGCTCAGGTGGTTAGGACGTCGAACTTATCAACTTTGCCATTTTTCGACCAGGTTCGAATCCTGGCGGGGCAGAATTTTTTTTTGTTTTTTTTTTATTTTTTTTTTTGTTTAGAAAATATGAAAATTAAATAAATACGATTATTGTTGATTATTTTTTTAAAAACATTTTAATTGTTATAGTAATAATAACCTTGGTTTTACATTTTTTTGATGACATTATTTTGTGGTCGTAGGACAAATATTGTACATCACTTGTGTGAAAAGTTATTTTCCACACTCGTGTGATAGTCGCACTTGGCTTGCGCCTCTCACTCTTGTGAAAAATGTCACTTTCCACACTCGTAATGTAATATACTATAAAACTATGCCTGATAGAATAAAAGCTGTTATTAAGGCAAAGGGCGATGCAACCAGATATTAATGTGAGTTGTCCGAACATTTATGTGTCAATAAATATGCATTATTATCAACATTAGCTTAGTTTTATTGATCAATATCATGGATCATGGCGTCTTACTACAAAAGATTTATCGTTTTGGACTATCTGAAAATATTATGAATCTTTTTAAAAGTTATTTACAAAATCGATTTTTTGTAGTAAAACACGATGGAAACACTTCAGGTAAATTTCACGCTTCATCGGGGGTTCCACAGGGATCTAACTTGGGTCCCTTGTTTTTCCTCTTATTTATTAATGATTTGCCAGATGTTATTAGATATTCCAAATGCTTACTTTTTGCTGATGATGTAAAAATATTTAAGCCTATACAAACCGTTAGAGATTGTTCAGCTTTGCAAAAAGATATAAACAGTGTATTGGAATGGAGTGCTCAATGTAAATTAGACTTTAATATTAAAAAATGCAATGTAATGTCAATTACTCGACAAAAGGATCCAATTATTTTTGATTACTGTATGGATAATGAGTCACTAAAACGAGTATATGAATTCAAAGACTTAGGAATTACGTATGACTATAAACTATCTTTTAAAAAACACATTGAAAATGTAGTAAAATCTGCAAATCGCGCTCTTGGATTTACGATACGACAGACGTCTCTTTTTGTCAAAATCGATTCTATAAAATTGATATATGTTACGTTAGTAAGATCTAAACTTGAATATGGCTCTGTAATATGGAATGGAGAATACCAAACCATTTTGCAGGAATTAGAAAGAATACAAAACAAATTTTTAAGATACCTTTACTTTAAAAAATACTTTATTAGACCAGATTATAATAGTGTCAGAACAACACAATTACGAAGTGAATTTAAAATACCTTCTTTAGACTGTAGGAGAAAAATGTTTACTATACTTTTTTTGTATAAAATCATAAATAACCATATAAATTCCGCAGAAATATTGTCAGTTTTGCCATTTAATGTACCTCCTAGACCTACGCGTTCCGCGATTATGTTTAATATTCCCTTTGTAAGTAGCACTCTTCGATCACCTCTCCTAACCATGCTCCGTTTAGCAAATAATATTACTTGCTTGCACGAAGTAGATTGGCATATGCCTCTAATAACATTGACACCTAATTTATAGGTATATTGTGAACTTGTCTGTTTAATTATTTTAGTTTTTCCATTTCTTTTATATGATTTGCTTTTTATTTTTTAGAATTTTTTTTTCTCAATATGAGTTTGTGTTTAATCCCCCTATATCTATATATCTATTTATTTAATATGTATATTAATACGTTTTGATCGATTGTGTAAATTATAAATATTGTAAAGTCCATCCTTGTAATTTAGGCCAGTAAGCCTGTTAGGATGGAACAAATAAATAAATAAATGAGTATGAGTATGAGTATGAGTATGAGTATGAATATGAATATGAGTATGAGTATCAGTATGAGTATGAGTATGATTAAGCAACTAGCAGAGGAAGTAAACAAGAAATTATTTTTGTTTACCTTTTTTTAACGATAACAATATTATGCACCTCCTCTAACAATAATGCTCTTTAATATACTTAAATTTCTATCCCCATATTCAATAATCTATATCTTATGAGAAATTCCGATCTTACATTTTATTTTTCGGCTGAAAATCAATATTTTTTTTAAAACAAAAAAAATCCCTTCCTGCCAACTACTACTGTAATATAAAAAAAATTTTATACCACGCCCCGATATTGCTATTTTCAATTTCATGAAGATATCCAGAAATTTTCACATCAATAGTTATCTATAATTTTATAGCTAATCAACCATCACTCTGTCGTTAATGTAGTTAGCTGTAATTGTTAAATCTAATATAAATTATTATTATAAAATATTATACATTTTAGTGATGAAGGGCTATAGACCCAGTAAATACAGGTTATTAATTTGTGTTCTTTTACCAACGAAACACCCTTTATATTATTATATATTATACTTACCGCCTAATTTGTGTCCATGTCTTTTAAATTCGTCATAGTAAGTTGCAGAATGCGCTCCCAATCCTACACCTTTTGGTAAACCATTCCCAAAATTACCAAATGGGAAAATGGGTGGAATTTGGGGAATACCCTTATTGGTCCAATAGCTGTACTTATGTTTAATATAAAAATATGCACCGATTACAAGGGTTACAACAGTTATAATCAAGTCGGTCACTAAATTATCGGTTATAAACATTTTAGCTGAAACAAGAGAGATTCCAAAAATTTAATGTTTAAAGTTGAGAAATAAGCAAAAATGTTTAAACACTTTGAGGAATATTGTAAAAATATAGAACAAAATACCCTAATTCTACTTATTAAAAATCAGTTTTCGACTAATTTATTTATGAAAATGTAAAAATATATTAAAATAATTCGTATAAAAAACCATAACTTTGATGTATAGCCTTTATATAGATTACCTTCAATATTCCAAAATATTTTAAAACCTCATAGTTAATTGATACATGTGTCCTTTACAAAAACAGATTTTCACAAAAATATAACGTTTCGTCCTTAGATACAAATCATTACTCGAGGCACAAAAAAAAAACATACGAAATATAACAATTAAATTACTACCTTAATAAAACACTACATGCACTGTGGTTTAGTCTATCAAGAATAAAAAAAAAATTAATTTCACTTCTCTGTTTTGTAGGTATACCTAAGATCAAAATAATAAATAATATTTAGCATTCTTATCATTAAAAATAAGCTTTTTATTATAATTTGTATAAAATTAAGTCAATTATCTCCTATCTTTCAGATTTTAGAATAATTATCACATTATTGCTACACATTCTGAATCATGTTGAAAATTGTATTTTATTATTTACTTGGCTTAAGAGCAGAGCACGCAAGTATTTCGTAGTACCCCACTTTTAAACTTAATTTTTTACTTATTTAGAAAGAATAACATATCGATCAAGAAAAAAATTACATCTCAAAAAAGTCGATTTTTTAGTTTCCTGTATATTACCACTGAAGCAGACGCCTACTTTCTGATGAAAATAAAGTTTTATGTGAAACTCGATCAGTGGCCAATAGAGCATGTAACACAAGTCTTTTTACAATTCTCCTACACTATTACATTTTAGTTTGTCTAGAGTTGTTCCGCAGGTCATGTCAAAAGTTTGTTTCAAAAAGGTTACAGCTAAACATATTTGCTAAATGTGAAATGGCCAGTACAACTTATTTAAGTGAAGGAAACCCTAATACACACATTATGCCTAAAAGTTTAACAAAGGGTAAAACACAAGATGGAGATCTTGAGGAGGTTCAAACTATTGCCAACAGTATTATATTGCTTCGAAGGCTATTCAGGTAAAGGTATCTGATGCAAAGACAAATACAGTTACAGGTTAATTTAACTTTTAGGGTAAATTTGTATTATTTAGTTTTTTTGTGCTTCTAAAATTAAATTGTTTATTAAAGAGCCGTTGTTAGAGTTTAAATTATTAATAATGTGAAGGGGCTAATAAGAAATACTTTATTTTATGGTAGCTTCTGTTACTTTGTCGATGATAATTTGGGAAGTAATTTTGCATCACATTTTAGTAATTAATGAACAAGATAAAGCTCTGGAGCTGTCTCAACTAAATGTGAACAGTACCATGAATGCGTTATAGAAGCCTCAGAAGCTGTACATATAGATTTTCAGAACATAGAAGCTCAAACAAAAAACTCAGAGTGCTACAAGTTCAGCAGAGAAAAAAGAACAAGATTCTATACATTCCGTTGAGTTACCTCTTGTGAAAGGAACTAGATCATTAAGTAAATTTAGTTTTATTATTTACTTTAGTTCTTCTAAATAATTATATGTTTTAGCTAGTAATGCAGTTAATAACGTTTCATTATCTAAGAGAAGGGAAAAACGTTCAGCATCTTCATCTATAGTCCAAGAGCTAGTAACACAAATTTCATTAAGTGTTTGATGAACTTTAAATTTTGTAATTTAAAATCATTTGGATGGAAAAGCAGATGTACGTGTGTTGGCTAGACCCACCCTGGGACACCAGGTACTGCGCATAATAGAAAGGCGTCGTAAAATATTACCCAAAAAAGTGTTTGATTCAGAGGCCAACAAACAACAATTGAAAGTTTAGGTAATTCTATAAATACTAGTAATTTAGGCAGACTCTTTTGAGAGGGTTTATAATTAATAAATCAACCCCAAAGTTGATTTTTTTAAAATAGGATTTGTAGTGTTTGATTCACGCTGAAATTTTAATAGCGTCTTAATTAAATATAAAAAAAAATAATTCCAAAAGGCAGACACTTTTTCCGGGGTTTAATTGCCGGCCAACATAAAAATGAATGAACCTTGTTATGCGCCACTATGCATTGAATAAGTATATACTTTTTAAAAACTAAACATTCTAAATTACCAAGACTGTGAAATAATAAAACAATAATATTTTTACTTTTTTTTTTTTTTTTTAAAAAAGAAAAAAACTAAAAGTTCGGGGCTCGAATTACTAACTTGCTATCCACATTATCCAAATTTTGACCACTGTACGCTCTGCGCCACCGAGCACACCTTGACAAAAGTTTGGAATCGCTTATAATAATATATAACAATTTATTACAAATATTTACGAAAAATTTTATTATGTCAAATGATACCTACATTGTAATTTAATGGAATTACATTAATATATGATTTAAAAACTATAAAAGTATCATTATTACTTAATTGGGGTCCGGTAAAAGATGCTGTGATGCGAAATTCACAAAAAATTTTTAAACACTCAAAAGTAACTAGTTTCTATAGTAAATTTTCAAATAAAATTTTATAGATAAAGCAGTATTTTTTGAAAAAAATTGAATTAAAAATCCCAATTTTACAGGTTATAATCACAAAACAATTACTCTTAATGACAGTTTCTGACGTTTCTATCTTAAAAATAACAAACGTTGCCAAGTTGTTAATAAAGTTTAAGGATTATTTATAAATTTATAAAAATAAATTTTTCGTTTGCTTCAAAAAGATAAGTACGGTAATAATCGTATATAAAATGAAAAAATTAATATATCAACCAAGTTAATTTTAAGAATGCAGCTCAAAAAACTACATACAAAATTAAAAACTGAAATTAATTAAATCACTTAACATGTAATACCTAGACAACTTTTTTTAAATTTCTTTTACTCAAAACGAAACAACGCCTTCCCGTAGGGTGTCGGCTTCGCCGCCACCAAAAAATTTTAGCCTACACCTGGCTACGCCTACCGGCATAGACTCCAAGGGCCTGGACACCGCTCAAATTGAAATGAAAAGTCTCACATAACACATTATAATCAAAAACCATACATTCTTTGTTTGCTTCAAAAAGATAAGTACGGTAATAATCGTATATAAAATGAAAAATTAATATATCAACCAAATTAATTTTAAAACTGCAGATCGAAAAAACTACATACAAAATTAAAAAGTGAAATTAATTAAATCACTTAACATGTAATACCTAGACAACTTTTTTTAAATTTTCTTTCACTCAAAACGGACCAACGACTCTCCATAGGGTGGCGGCTTCGCCGCCACCAAAAAATTTTTAACCCATACCTGGCTACGCCTACCAGCATAGACTCCAACGGCCTGGACACAGCTCAAATTGAAATAAAAAGTCTTACATAACAGATCATATTTGCACCTATAACTTATTTTCTTCTCATTCAAACAGAGAAATCTTAAACTTGGAAATTAGTGATAAAAATCAATATAGTATGGCAACGTTGCAAACTCGAGGACCCTATGTGTCAAAAACTGACAATTTCATGAATTACATTATTTTAATTATTTTAGATTTTATGGAAGGAAATGATGAAAAGTTAGGTTAAATCAGTCAAAATATTGCATTTTATTATAATATAAATAAAAATAGCAAATAAAACGTATCCTTCCATATTTAATTTCAGTTAAAATATCATAAAAAGTAAGTTGCTTCAATATATTAATGCTAAAATTATGAAATACGCACCTCAAGATCCTTTACCAGAACCCTTAATTATATTAATTTTTTATCTTGAGAGATTAAATGTTTAAACATAAGTCATCTAAATAAGTGCATTTTTTTATTATACTCCGTAATATGAATTTAAAATCTCTTTCTATAGTAAATAAGACTTATTTTTATGTTGGCAGGCAATTGAATCCCGGAAAAAGTGTCTGGCTAAATTGGTCATGCATTATTTTAAACATTATTGCTAACTTTATTTTTGACAAGGGGGGTAGCCATGTGTGAGTTGAAGTAATTTTAAGGTGAAGGGGGGAGAAAAAGTCCTTTATATCTCACAAGGAAAGTCCAATGTTTAATTATTCAACAAAACATTGAGTGCGACCGGTTTCGAAGTAACATCACTTCATCTTCAGGCTCGCCTAGTGGAAAGGAGAATATGTGGTGTAAGGTGTGTTGACTTTGAGCCCACAATATATAAAATAGTAAAAAATAGAAAAACTCACCATACTCTCCATCCACTAGGGAATACTACAGACAAGTTTCATCAAAACGTCGGGGATGAAATAAATTGTAAAACAAAACAATGTTACAAGTTATAAAAGTTAAAAATATTTGAAAAACAAATATTAGTCGATATAAACAGTTAAAAATTTTAAAATATTCAAGACGATACAAAAACAAATTACATACATTAAACAGATTAAAAGATAAGGCCTATTTTAAGCAAACATTGCTGTTTTTTATAAAAATCTAACATTTTTGAAAGGAGACCTGTCAAGTTAAGGCCTCTACAGGTGGTGGTAAGTACTAAAGAAAAATTCTTGGATAAACTTATGACAGGGTATAGGTAATAAGATGTAAACTATGAGTGAAGAAATATTTATTATTTATTATATAAGATTTGGGCCATGAACCAATCACCAAGTGTATGTGATGTTGTAGGATAAAATATTATTATTATTTAGGATAAAATATTATTATTATTTTATCCTACAACATCACATACACTTGGTGATTGGTTCATGGCCCAAATCTTATATAATAAATAATAAATATTTCTTCACTCATAGTTTACATCTTATTACCTATACCCTGTCATAAGTTTATCCAAGAATTTTTCTTTAGTACTTACCACCACCTGTAGAGGCCTTAACTTGACAGGTCTCCTTTCAAAAATGTTAGATTTTTATAAAAAACAGCAATGTTTGCTTAAAATAGGCCTTATCTTTTAATCTGTTTAATGTATGTAATTTGTTTTTGTATCGTCTTGAATATTTTAAAATTTTTAACTGTTTATATCGACTAATATTTGTTTTTCAAATATTTTTAACTTTTATAACTTGTAACATTGTTTTGTTTTACAATTTATTTCATCCCCGACGTTTTGATGAAACTTGTCTGTAGTATTCCCTAGTGGATGGAGAGTATGGTGAGTTTTTCTATTTTTTACTATTTTATATATTGTGGGCTCAAAGTCAACACACCTTACACCACATATTCTCCTTTCCACTAGGCGAGCCTGAAGATGAAGTGATGTTACTTCGAAACCGGTCGCACTCAATGTTTTGTTGAATAATTAAACATTGGACTTTCCTTGTGAGATATAAAGGACTTTTTCTCCCCCCTTCACCTTAAAATAACTTTATTTTGTTGCAAGTGCAAAATAAAAATATTTATATTAATGTTATGTGGTGCATTAAATTCGCAATTAAATTAGCTTTCAAATGAAGTGTCACACTTTATAATACCTTACAAGTTTTTTATCCCGATAGAGGGCACTAAAATTAAAAGTATCGCAATAAATAGTCATATTTCTGACTTCCTCATAAAATTACCTTTTCAATGATATGCCGTACATAGTGAATTCCTTATTTTAAATTAAGGGGTTGGAGAAGTGAAAGGAAGGGGGTTGACATATAACAGATTTCTGTAATGTAAAAATGTGTTTAATTTAGAATAAAAATCGACCTGTTTTACCCTTTTTGCTAAAATCCAATGATTAATGCTGAAAAACAGGATGAAACTGTGTCGAGTGACCCATTCTGTATATCCAAAATGGCCAAATTTATTGAATTAGTAAATGCATTTTTTGCAAGATCCGCTATGTAGGAAAGACTCTGCCATCAAAAAAAAAAAAATATTGAACGCAGCGCCATCTACAAATTGACCTATTTAAAATTAATTTATATCCAGAACTGAAGATCTCTTAGCGCTCTATGAAGTGGCTTTTACATAATAAAAATATCTCTATTACTTACCAAAATATCGGGCATGGGATTTTTTATTGGTACACCGTGTATACAGAGCAGTGGCAAGAAATTAAGAGTCTGGAATAAAGATCGACAAGAGTTTTAAAAGTGGCTGGCAGTTATGAAAAAATTGTAAAGCATTCGATGCTTTTGTCTATAGTATTATATCATATGTAAGGAAACTGTAAAATAAGGAGTGGTGGGCTATCAAAACATTGTCAATGTTTACACTTTTCTTTAGACTTCCAAGTAGATATATTTTGGAACTAATATTTTGTTAATTTTTTAATCTGGACATCCCACCTTAGACCACTGTCAAATATTAATCACAGAAGATTTGCATAATTTAATTTACCATGTTCATCGTAAATATTAAATAATAAATATTTGTTTTATTTTTCCTATTAAGTTTAATTTACTTGTAGAAAATCATTTAACAGCCTTTTCTACTGACAAATTACTGGGATTTTCAAGAGTGTCGATATATTTGTGAGAATTTAAAAGTGTAGTATCGTCTGCAACTAGGAAGCATGCATTAGGATGAATACAGTGAAACATATCTTCACTTAGGTAATAAACAGTCAGGAAATTAGGCAACTGTTTATTTAAATAAACCTGTCTGATTGGTACTACTTAAATATAATAAGTGGCGTACCTCCCTAACCATCAAAATCAGGCTTAAATATAAAATCGTGACAAAAACAGTCCTATATCAATGTGGATTCTCTTCCGTCAAAATCATCTTGTCACGGTGCTTCTTGTAGCATTAACAGTACCACATCCCTTTTTAAATTTATACTGATTTATGGATAGTATTTTTGTCAAGAAACATGTTTAGGCGATCTTATAAAATAATTTTAAAAATCTTTCAAATATCGGAATTATCAAAATAGAACAGTGCTTACTTGCTTGATTTACATAGCTGTTTTTATAAATAGGTACTATTTTACTTACTTTGAACCTATCTGGAAACTCTCCTAAACAATTTGGTTTAATAAATAATCTTGTCAACTGTTGACAAGGGGAACTATTAAAAGTAGAGAATTTTCCAAAATATTAATTTAAAAAGTTTTCTATTTATTTATGTGGTGTTATGAGCCGCCACTGTATAAATAGCTACCTATAAAAATTAAATTTTAGGACTTGTGTTATCGTTATCAGGAATATATTTTGTTTATTTTACAATTAAAAAGAGTAAGAATCAATTGTTGATTAGTTTTATCTGGAAAACATTTTATAATTTACCAATTATTATTATGTACACAATTAAATCTAATCATTAATATTATCATCATATTACTATTTGAATTAAACCGACTTGTAGTAATCATCGTGGCCTTGTAATAATAATTTTGTAATGTTTTTAATAAGACCGTTAAGTGAACTTTAGATAGTCACTACCTTATTATGTTATAAGGAATCATGTTTTTATATTTTGAATAATAAGACCGCTATTAAGGCAAAATTTATATTTAAATTCGTGAAAGCTTCTATATTAACACTTTCGCTATTAGCTTCGTTCGCGGTAACAATCCTGTACTAAAGCTGAACGCTAAGGTAAAAATTACACTGCCTATTATAACTGGATTTGAATTGTTTAAATGTTTATGCAGGCGTGTATCATGATACTATTACTCGAGAAGATAAGCCCACTTGACGATCCAATTTCGATCGCGTTAGCGCATGACGTCACCCGTTGACAACAATCCATCTCGTGGGCATGGAAAAGCATTAAGCTAGAGCGGTTTTAATCAATATTTTATGTTTATTTATTATAATATTGATATATTATTTTTATAATATTAATATATTATTAAATTAAATATTCTTTGGCTTGCCTAATCATCTTAAAATATCCCAAAACGTGTAAAAAAGTATTATGAGCAAAAAAGAAAATTTTTGTCTATCGGTATTCACCATAACTTTTAAAGTAATTGCCCTATAGATAGGTGTTATTCCATTAGGGGTCGGATTGGAATATTTTTGAGTAAAATTGGTAAAGGGGAAGGGGGTGAAATTTCGGCGTAAAATGGTAAAAATGCAAATTTTTGTAAAAAATCGAGTAATATGTCGTTTTATAGGTTTTTGGCGATGGACATTTTGATTTTATAATCCATTTAATATTTTAATAGATAATTAGAAAAAGAGTAAAAAGGGGAGGGGTAAAAATTTAAAATATTTGAAAATAAAATGGGTTAAACTTATTTTAGAGTTTTTAAAGTATAGACATTTTTATTTTTCAATCAATTTAATATTTTTATAAAAATTACGTATGAATGTAAAAAAGAGGGGTAAAAATTAAAAATGTTTTGATAAACAAGTAATAAATCGTCTTAAAAGTTAAACAGCAACAGAAATTTGGAATTATTGATTCAATTTGCAGCAGTATGTTTTTGGTTGTTATTGTTTGAACAACCTACCACTGTACAGTATACCATAGTAAATGTTTAAAACAATGTTTTAAAATATAACATATAAAAAGGTTTACGCACGTTTACTTCTAATACCCAACAAACCAAAAGAACACATTTAAATAATCAGTATTACACGCAAAACGCTTTGCACCGTATAGAACTGGCTGTTGCTGAGTCGGGTAGTCTCCCAGTGACGTCAGGCGTGCGAGAGAGATGGGCTGATCGCATGCGCGTGGGTTTATCTCACATACTTTGATTACTATACGGGGCAAGAGAGAGGTCCGACACGCCCAACATAGGGCGCGGCCATTTTGAACCCTATGACACAGTTTATAGCTAAAGAATCAGATCGCTCACTCTGTGTCGGCACATTTTATCTCAATGTTCCAGTTTATACACTGCGCAACTCAGATAATACAATATATGACAACCGCCTATAATAAAACAGCAGTCTTCTGCGTATCCCGAATTTGTATTCCTGGAGTGGATGTTATTTTGGAACTTTCAACTGGTCCGAGTGAGCTAACTGATTCTTTAGCAATAAACTGTGACTTCAAAAATAATATTCACTGACACTGACAGCAGCAAGCAAAATATCAGGTGCGTTTTAATCATTCGCTACTGCTTCCGGAATTGTCGGTTCAGTCGTTCTAACCTGTCAGATTAAAACAAGAAAACCGACAATTCCGAAGCAGAAGCAGATGATTAAAACGCACCTATTAAAAATATTGCGCCAAGATGTAGGCAACACGTAATAAGGGTTCAAAATGGCGGAGTTTTCTATCTCCTTTTAAAAGGCACTCAGAAAGCTGCGCAGTGCGACCATTCTCCGTATAGTAAAAGCAAATCAAAGTATGTGGTTTATCTTCTCAAGTAATAGTGTAATGTGAGCCATTTCATTAGTCAGTCATGCTCTAATACTCCAAGTCC